ATAAAAACTTTGATAGTGAGCTTTCATCTCCATTCCCAGTTTTAAGAGAATTATAGACCAGCTGACTTGCCTAAAGTCCAACTACTAAGTTGGGATTTAAACAGGAATATGCTTTGTTTTCAGCCTACAATTGCTTTCTCTTCTAAAACACAACTTTTTTGATTTGTTTTTTAATTCTGATGGAATACAGTATTTGTAAAATTATTTCAAACAGCTAATATAAAAATCCCAAAGAGAATTCTACTGCAGTTTGAGGTTAACGTCATTATAGCTTTCCTCTTTGACCCTTTTTCTAGTTATAATTTCATAAAGTGGATTGAGGCTTACATGCAGCATCATACTTTGCATGCATTACAGCTGAAGGATGTATCATGTTTCTTGGTTTTAGCAAGTACGTGGACTTAACTAAGCTGTGATGTGTCTGAGCACACAGTTAAACTCCCTCTTCCCTGGGTGAAGAAAGCAAGCTCTACTTTCCACACACAAACGATTAATAGGAAGCTGTATATGTTAATGGGATTTTTTTTAGCCTTTCTGCAACATCTTCCTGCCAAAGGGGAATGCGTATCTTCTTCTCAGTAGAAGAAAATGCTAAAAGACATTTTAGCACTATATAAACAATGCTTGATCCTTTGTAAAGTCAACTATTTCTCCTTCTGGAGATCTCTTCCCCTTTATTCCAGACTGAAATAAAGATTACAAAATTTCCCTATTTTTTTCAAATAGCAACCCCCAAATTCAATGTATTCAACTTCTGCCTCAGTTAAAACCAGATTCTTCAGCTGACTTGTATGGAATGCACGCTAGAAACTGTCAGTACAGGTTAGCTCATTAAACTGTGCATAATTACCACAAAATGGCCGTACAAACTTACATTTCTTAGAGCTCCTTGTTAATCCTCAGGAGCTTATCTTCCCAAGCAGAAAAAGCATGAGGGTCTGGCCATGAGAGCACATAAGGTTTTGTCCAGCTCTTCCTGTCTCCCTTTTGCAAGAAGTAATAATGTAAAATAATCAATATGCATTTAAACATCCCTTTCTGCATCATGCAGGACAACTACCAACACCCCAGTGCCTGCTTTCCTATAGAACTTCTCCGGTGAGCTACAAGGCATTATTTCATGTTTCTTTGTCAAATCTTAAGCAGCTTAAAAGTTCAACTAGGTCCTGTAAACCATCCAGTGATAAAACATCCAGCTTTGTCTGATTCCAGCTCTAGAACACGCTTCCAGCCACTGGGAAAATGCCAACACCCTGTGAGTCCCAGCACAAGCAAAGTCAGTTGCCCCCAGTTTTATCAAGGTAAGTGCCACGATACAGAATGTGCTGAGTCTTCCTTCTGTTGTAGCTGGTGCTTTGGGGAAAGTCAGTTAAATGCTACATTATTTTAAACGTTTTAAGCTGTATTTTGGAAATACTGCAGTATCACTACTACCTCATAGAGTCTCGTAGCCCAGCTGCACACCTGACTGGACTGTTGGTCAAGCAAAGCAGTAGAAATTGTATTTTGACAAAATTAACTAACAACCTTGCCCAAACACACGCCCTGTTATTCCTCAAAGCAAGGAGTATTATGTGGAGCTTGATACCCGACAGGCTTAGAAAATTATTTGGGCATAAATCTGCTGAAGCGCAGAAGAATGCTTTTAAAGACCTTCTAAAGAACACTTTGCCCATAAGCTGTGCACCATTTTCCATTTGACATGCACAAATTTATATATACAGCTTAGAGTCACAAACAGCCTTCTTTTCCAGACCAGTATCACAGTAACTCCTGAACTCAGATCGACACAATTAGTATATAAGAGTACATTTATTACAGCAAAGTAATGGGGAGCCTGAATATTGTATTTAAAGCAAAGTTGAGTGACTAAGTTGCAATCCCAGGAGGTAACACTGACCACAAGAACAACCTCTGTCACACGCACTGCTGTCCCCGGCATCCCATGGAGGTAATGGCTTGCCTCAGAGAGCCCAGGCACAACTAACCTTGGTGCAGTTTGTTGCTGTTTTCTTGTCAGCAGACGCGAGGTAAAGGGACAGTATCTAAGACATGGCACCACACAGGTTTTGCTGCTATCACAGCACACTAGTGACACTGCATCTTTTCACAGAAGAGGTTGACTTCTCCGTGGTTGTGGAACCCTCTCTCCCCATAGCCCTGCTGAAGGGCCCCCAAGCCTTACCTGCCGGTATACCAAGCATCAGCTCTGATACAGCACAACTGTGTACCCTTGGCACAGGCTGCAAAGAAAGAGCTGTGGAAAAAGTCTGTAGAGTTAAAAGGCGTAACATTAAAGCCCCTGGTGAGGCAGGTGCTCTTAGCACCTCAAGAATTCAGTAGCTCAAGCATTCATTCCTTTGGAAAGGTGTAAAACCTTAAAGCAAAAGAAGAAGGGAGGCTAGTTAGTGTAACCCTTGTCCTTCTGCCTGGTTGCTGCCTGGCTAGGAAAGACCCTCCAAGTGCCTCATCAGGGTGGTGAGTATTTAGTTTGCTAAATCCAGAATGCCTTTTGTGCGTAGTAACCAACTGTTAGTCACTTTATACTTCTCTTTGCAGAATCTCTTTGTGCCCATGTAAAGATGCCCAAAGAATCTAGTTCAAAACAGGGGTTCTAACCAGAGGCATAGTATAAAACCAAATAAACAAAAAGGAGAGACAAACACAGAAGACAGCCTTCATCGACTGACAGCGAAGCCCAAACTTTTCAGTGGCCATACATTTGATTTCCATGTGAACACCATTGCTGTGTCTAGGGGAAGTGTCTATTCTTGATTCCTAAGATATTTCATGGCAGTTTGTGTGTCATACTGTTAGTAGAGCACATGTGCCATCTGTGTTTTTCACCAACATTTACTAGCCTTGGACTGTGTGCAGACCTTTTTTTTCTTGTTCATTGTGTAAGTGGCACACACTTCTGATAGCCCTGACAAAGTGGACTTGTGTGTAAAACCGGGCTATTAAAAGTTGGTTCAGTGCAGCAACTGCAGCATGACAATAACCGAATGAACTTCTAGCTTAGTACTTTTAAAATACCCCAGAAACAATGAGTCAGCTCAGTCTGAATAGCTGCTTAACAGTGCAAAAGCATGTAAACATCCTCGCACTCTTTCCTTTTGACATAAAAGGCAAACATTCCAGTGTATGCCATTTTGCTTGCTACACAAAGTATTGCCAGCATCTAAGTGCAATAGACAAATCTAATTTTTCATCAATAAGAGCTAATTTGCACTGAAGGGAGGAAAATAAACCACACCTTGCTGAGAAGAGGAAAAACCCAAAAGTGCATGACAAGAAACTGTTATTTACTATGAACAGAACTATGTAACACTGTGCAACTACTTCAAATAAACCAATTTACACCAAACCAAAGACATTATTTCTTCTCTACTGAATAAAAGCTGTGAAAGCAGCAGCTGTTCCATAGGATTTTTATCATCTTCGGCACATCTGTAAATGAAATGAAAGGACCCCGTATTTAGCTGAGTGGCACCTTGCTTTTGCAGCTTCTTGATGATTTCACTGAGAACTCTGCGAAGTCCCTGAGGATAAAATACATCACCTTTGGGCTCAGCAACACACGTATAGTTTTACCTGGGTGGTTCTCTCAGGCAATGCCAGAGCTTGTGCTGCTGTATGCTTAGCCTGGACAGTGGTGAGAAGCAGTCAGAAGGGTCTCTGTACATTTCTAGAGCACAGCATGCTAAATTCAGAATTTGTATTAAAACATAAAAGGTTATTTTCACCACTTAACAACACAGAAAACAACGCAAGGCTTACAGTATTTCTTTTCCTAAGTTTCTAAAACCCGTCCATCAAAACTGATTTCTGGCAAATTCAAAATATCACAGTGGCCCAAATACAATGGCTTTTTCCTTCCAGCAATTAAAATTCAAAATAAATCCTCCTCTTATATTTGTTTTCAGACTAAGTTTCTGACTAAGCTTTCTTGCCCTTCTAGAAAACAAATCACATGGCTGGTAAAAGTGCACCGTCTTTGAACATGTGAGCTGGAACAGTGAACAGGTTCCACAGACGAAATTCCAGGACCCTTTGCAGGATGAAAATAAACAGAGGGGCCTCTGGCATCCTTCATTCTTCCCTTCATACAGCTGCCAGACTCCTTTGTATTTGAGACAATTTGGAATTGATATAAAAGCTAATTGGAACTTACACACCAAAAAAAATATTGTCAGCTCAGAGAGGAAGGCTGGAAAAGGGAAAAGCTGAAAAGGAGACTATGATTGGATTTAAGGTTCAGCAAGCTTCAGCTCTGATGAACAGCAGAAGTAAATCCCACCATCAACATTTGATTCCGTTACACTGGTAACTGCCAGTGAGTGACCATCCTCAATTAAACATGATTTGGGGTCCCTGTTCAAAATAGGTGAGGACACTGGCCTACATAAGCAAACATTTATTTAAGATAAAATCTTCAAAACCACTTAATCAGCACAGTAATGCAAGGCATCAATTAAGCTTACAACTGCTAACAGATTTAGAGTGTTGTTCATTCACAGTTACTGAAGTCTGGTTCGCTCCCTCCTTCATGCTGGCACTTGTAAGTTACCACTCAGAAAGGTTTGATTCCCCCCCCCCCCCTTTTCCTTATGGTTCTGATACCCAGCAAGAGCAGTGAGCTGATCTGGAGGGCCACAGTGCTTCATGAGCTCTACAGCCAGCACAGGAGAAACATGGACCCTTTTGGCAGCAGCCCCATTAGTGGAGCCTAAAGCAAAGTGCTTTTTCTGCTAGTGGGTGAGCACTTGCAGCTCTTGACTTAAAATGCTCAAGCAGTGGCAAAGTTGATTAAAACCAGGAATTTATTCTAACAGCTTCTTTCAGGACTATCCTTGCTGCCGTAATGTATTGTTGCATAGTAAAAATCCATCAAAATCTCTCTTCTGGGTAATGAAACAGGTTCTGCCAGGATACTCCTCCTTGTAAGTTGTCTGCAGCCATGCACTTAATGACAAGAAAGGGATCATAACTGATATCTATATTTCTATATAACACAGACCAAACAGACTCAATTCAATGATTTCTGCATCAGACTTCTGTTCCAAGCCACAGTTAGAGCCGTAACAAACTCACATGGCAGGATTTCAAACAGGCCCTCTGCTCTCCAATCGTGCAGGCAGCCAAGCTATTTGCTAACAGTTTCACACATTCTCCTGCCTCTGAGAAATGTAGGCCAGCTTACCACATGCAGGAAGTGTGAAAATGCTTTTAAACAGCCCAACTGCTGGCCTCTTTTTTCACAGACAAAGAGGGAAAGTGCTTTTAAACACTCCCCTGCCTTCCACCCTGTAAACCTTAGTTTTTTACAAAGGGAACTTTCCCCTTTTTGGGGTTAAAACATCCCCTGCCCCACCATGTAGTTGCTCTAGCACCACTCTTACAGTCCCCTTACTAAGGCTCTAGCCAAGCCACAGTGCTGCCTGCAAAAAAACCCCTAACCAACCACCAAATAAACAAACTCACTCCCAACTATGTCTGCCTTTAGATTATCAATATTTTAATGTATCTTTGAATATCAACATTACCCGTGATTATTAGATTCTTAAGTAAAAGGCTGGAAATTTAGAGGAGTTATACTTGTTTTTATACAAGTAGTCAATCCAAATTAATTCCAATTAGATGAACAAGCAATACTCTGGTACAGCTAAAGTAGGAATTCCTCAGAAATGGGAGATCTCAAATTAGCATGAAATGTATGTAAGGCAAAAAATGAAGAAACAAGTTTCATCAGAAACCATAGGTAGATAATATTTCCTTGAATAATGCTCAGATGCATGATTTTCACTATATTGTTCAAAGGTTCCAAACAACAGTGCCATCAACAGGGTAAATAAAATGAGGATTCATTTTAAATTTTGAGATTGCCTATCTGAGACTTAGGAAGTTGAAGGATTTGAATCCTCTTTCTCATTAGATCCCAATTTTACTTCACATTCTTTGCAAGTATGATTGCAATGCCTACAGTACTGAAATCAGATAAAATATGAAAGAACTTTGCTGGATTACCTCTAATACAACCACACAGCAAGCTGGCAAATGTTCTTGAAGAAGTAATCCCTTGCCTATATTCTCCAATTTTTGTAGTTGCTCTGTGGGACATAAACTGCAAAAGATGACATCTAAATGTCTCAGCCAATAAGCCCCCATTCATTATTATTAACTTTGATTTCCAGCAATTGCCAAAATGTAAAAGGATTTTCTGAGCAGGAAAAGAGAGTCCTTGCCATTGTATCTACCAATAATGCACAAACATAGTTAGAATCAAGGTGAGTAATACAAAAGAGTGATGAATAGCCATTTTGTGTAATGCCAAGTGAGGAAAGTAATAGCTTTGTTATGCGGGGGAAGAATGGAAGAACAGAGATACAATGGAAAGCTTATTCACTCTTCCTAAGTCAGGCATTTCTGTAGGCATAAAAATTCACATTCTTCTGGGGGAAAGATGTGGAAAGACAGGGGAGAATGATTTCTGGGGGCATCCTTTATAGCCCCTGGATTCTTTCCTGCTTCTTGCTTCAGGCTTTGTAATTTTTTTTTCCTCCTACCTGCCCTTGCTGTAACTGGCCACTGATGCAGGCTGAAGGACTGTCTTACTTGCTCCTATGGTATACCCCCTTCTCAGTGGTCTTCAGGGTGGATGCCCTTCATTCTACCCACAATGCTAACCTTGATGTTATTAGTCAAGACCCCCAGAAGGGAAACTCAAGGTGCAATGTGTAGAAGCAGGCTCATCCACTACATAAATGGAATACAATCCTCTTTTGTGTTAGCCTGCAGATAACAGGCCATCTCTATAAAAAGCTCTCTGTCTCCTCACTTTGGCAGCATTCCTTGTCCCTTTACACCAAAGCTGTATTCATATTGATACATGGTCACTGTAAAAATGTTGCCAGCATTTTTCAAACAAACTAACAGTTAGAACTACAGTACCGGATCCTGGTGCCCCTGCTCAGGTTGTAGAATGCTGTGCCCTACAAGCAGCCCCAGGGAAGAGCCTACTCAAATACATGTGATCATGGCAACAGAATGTAGCCACCAGTCTTTAAATTAATGAATTCTCTTTTCAGTTCATGTTCTTTCAAAAGCATGACTGTGGTAATGCATACATAATGATCAAATCACTGGAAGAGTGATGGCGATGAGTGAGAGGAATACTGATCTTGAAAAACAGAAGGCTTTAAGGAAACTTGCATTTCAGTAGAAATTGCGGAATCTCAACTTCATAACTTAGGACCTTCATGAATTTTTTACGTTTACTCTTTGAGACTAGCCCCTGGGTGACAGGCATGCTCCCAAGAGACAAAGGAAGAGCTGTAAAAATAACAAGGAGGGGAGTATCTGGTGTTAGGCAAAATTTGTTACCTTTTTGTTAAACTCGTTACACTTTTATATGTTGAATATTTGATATGTTTATAAACACATTATTCATCTTTTAAACATTAAATTTGCATATTATCTTAATCATCGGCTGCATCTGTTCATTTGGATTACTATCTCTTCAAGCAAGGATGTGTTCATACAGTGCCAGACATCAGGCATGCTGTAGCATCTGTAGCTAATGCATGATATATATTTACTAAATAACAGCTTCCATAATCTGAATGTCTCCTTAATACTGCAACACTAGTAAGGACAGCAGCTCTGATTAAATGCTGAAACCCTTTTCTTTCAGGAAATGTGTAATTTAGATACAAACTCACATGATGGGCTTAAAAGGCACTAAAACACCTGGTAACTGATTTTTTAGATGTCCTAACACCTAAAGAATTTAACTGAGCCAAGATGCACAGCCATGCCTGCCTTTCATTCAAAGGCAAGGATGTAATATAGTAAAACATGCCTTAAGGTTGTTTTAATACAGACTTCAAGAATAGAACCAACTCTGTGATTGTTAATGTAAGTTCATATTAAACAACAGGTTAATTCAACCCTCTTTACTTACAAGGATTGACCCTAGAATGACATATTGCTCAACTTAAAATAAGGTGACAGAGTTAACCTACAAGAATATTTCAACAAAATCCAATGCATTACAATAAATGGCATGCTATTTTGGAGCCAGTTTTGCAGAAGTACATCAAAAAGTCATTCTCAGTGTGATAAAAACAAGTTTGGATTACTCACCTCTGCATCAGAAACTTTCCTTTCTATGTTCTTCATGGTTCCCTGAAATGTCTCCATCACTGTGGATTTGTGAGATGGGACAATAGAACACTGGCTGAAAGGATAAACCTGGCTTAGCTTATTGAATTTAATCTCACAGGAAGAAAAAAGATATCAATTGAAAAAGACAAATTATTTAAAAACCTAATAAAATACAATGCAAAACCCAACCCAACAAGCAAACCCCCTTGTTCTGTTGTTAGCAGTGTGATGAAATACTTGATACCCCAATACAGAAACAGAAAGGACTACACTGGTTTTAAGTTAAAACCACTCATCCTGTTGGTCTGTACATTCCCTAAAATAGCTCAGCTGCTGCTTACCCCAGAAGTACATGGCTTTATGTCTGTTAGCCACTTCATTCTCATGAGATAGATACATCATCTTTCTGGGAAAGGAATGAGAGGAAGTAAGCAGGGCAGAGCAGTAGTTTCTAAAAATTAAGTCCTGCCCCATACAAAAGTCAATTTCAGCTCACTAAAAGCAGATTTTGCAAGTATTCAGAAAAGGGTCAACATAAGCTCTGCCAGATTCCCCTAACTGGCTTAACTTTCTCTCTGAGCAGTTTAAATATATTCATGGCATTAACTGAACTCAACCATACTGCTTCACTCTCGTAATAATCAGATTGCTGGGAGGCTTCTTTTAGGCTAATGGTAGCTCTTTTTTTTTCCATTTTGATTGTGAGAAAGAAGTGACAGTGTGCTCTCTTGTGTTCCATTATCCTGGGTACTGACATATGGATAGATTATTCTAGTTTCCTTTAGGAGATAACTTGGTTACCAGCGTTAGCACTTGTAGTATTATTAGTGGACATCTGAAATCCATGGTGTACTGGCTTTGGCTGGGAGTTTCTTTTCTCCACAGCAGCAGGTATAGTGCCGTGTTTTGGATTTGTGACCAAACGAGTGTTGATAACACAGGGATGTTTTTGTTATTGCTGAGCGGTGCTTACACAAAGTCAAGGCCTTTTCTGTTTCTGCCTCACAAGCAAAAGGGCTAGGGACACACAAGAATTTGGTAGGACACCCAGCTGGGACAGCTGACCACAACTGACCGAAGGGATACCCCATACCATATGATGCTGTGCTCAGCAACAAAAGCTGGGGAAAAAAGAATCATCAAGTTAAAATGAGTTGAAACTTCAACAATCTGTAAAAGCACATCTACAAATATTCTTGAAAGCAAAACCAGACTTTGTAGAACAAGCAGTGCCTTGGGAAAAAGAGCATGGAATTCTACCTCATTTTATGCCTGACTGATCCGCAATTTTGTAAGCATAATTAATTAAATGCATTTCTTGGCCTCAAACACACATTTCAATTTTTAGCTAATAAATATATCAGCCCTTCTTCAAGCACTGCTCTCACTAAAGTGAATGGTGGTCCTGCTCAGGTAAACAGTACAGAACTGACTCCACTCCAGACCCTACAGAACCACTCCAAACTGGTTTCAAAGCAAGGTCACAGCAAACACAGTAAAATCCAAACAGGCTGATTGAAAGAGAAGGAAATGAGTGTCAGAGCCCTAAGTGTTCCAACAGGCTTTGCAACCTTTCTGCCCCCAAATACACCCTGCCAGGTGTTTAGTTGTTTTAGCTCAAAGTCAGCTCTAATATAGCACAGTTGTGTAGCTCCCAGATTCCTTGCAGATCAGCCCAATTTTGTGTTCTCTGGCAGTGACTGTTTAGCAACAAGGTCATATCGTGTTTAAATTCCTTGATTTCTCCAGCAGAGGAGAGAGGAATGCCCATCTTCTGTACAGTTGGAGGGCAGGTTCTTGTGCAGTACTCTTGCCTTCCCCCTTCAGAATACATACATACACACCTGCATGCATGACTTGATGGGGACAGGTTATACTGGACTAGTACTTAGACATTAGGGCTCTGCCAGTTCATAACTAGTTTACCTAGCATAGCATAAATCAGAGCCCACTATCTTAAGACTCAAAAGCTCCTAGCCCTCTGAGTGTAGTGAACCGGCAAGAGTACCACATAGCCCTTTCTTCTCTCCATTTCTATGCTTAAGGTAACAGACATCTGTTTCTTCAGAAAAGTGACCAATGCAAAATCCTAGTTATTCACCAGTAACAGCACCAAAATAAGAGGGAGGAAACCCAGCATACCCATCCAATTCGCTTTAGTGGAGATGCCTGACTTTCCTGTTGGGTTGTTCCAGAAGAAATTGTCTCTTTCCTTGTATCCTGCTGCTGATCTTGGTCAGCAGAAATTATGTGTTTTACACTTGGCTCCCTCTCTTTCTGCTAAAGCCAAAGCATAAGATTGACACTGTAAGTTCAGTGTTCACCTAGAAATAATAATGGCCAAGATGAAAGTATATTTTTTACATCAGATAGCATCCAGTCACCTATCACGTCCAGTTTACAGCACAGTGTATCACTAGCTATACAATTAGGTATAGCCTAATTCAAACAGGGAAGTCAGTAAGTGCAGTAGATGCTGGATCGTGACCTGGCAGAGCACTCTCAAACATAAAGAAATGAGAACAAATATGAACAAGTCATCCCAAACCTTCCTAGTTTTCACTGTATTGCTGGTCAAAAATTTAACTTTGGTGTGCTGTACTGAAAATGTACAGAATCACTGTACTGCTGCTGTCCTCACAGCTGTCACCTCAAGCTTGGATTCCACGGGACTCATAATGCAAGCCTATCACAAACCATACATGCATTTCCAACAAACACAATCCAGTTACAAATATCCTTAAAAAAATTATAAAAATCTGTAAGAATAAATAGATTCCAAAAAGTTTAAGAGTCCATGCCTGAGAACTGTACTACCAGGGAAAAGCAAGAAGGAATCGCATTTCTGGAGTAATTCAAACTTCTAAACTGTAATTTTTCCCTAGCACTTTGCTGCATGGGCTTGCATTTTATTTAACAATGTACAGGGCACTGCTGCTTTTCAAAAAGTACCTTCTGAGAACGGTGGCACTAAACAAGGCTAAAACAACTGCAAAGGACAGAGTAAAACAGGAAGCATATGCAACAATTTAATAATCTGAATAGATTTTGGCATTCATAATATTACTGTATAAATCACTTCCTGCACTTATTTTGGGGTCAGTTACACAGCTGTAATGTTCAAGCAACGTCTGCTTCACACGCTCTAGATATTCGGACAACAATGCTTTTTTAGGTAATGGAACAGAAGCAATATGACCACCTCTCCCCCTGGTAAAATGACACAGTTAAGCATTGTGTTCAAACCAATCTGCATTTTATTCCCAGCCACACAAGTTTAAGTTTGAAAATCCACATAATGTTGGGAGAGCCACAGCTTTTCACTGACTGCCTCACCTTGACTAAATAAGAGCAATTTAATTTTCCATCAGTCTCTTGTCACTTAGTGCAAAAAGACATGGGAGAAAATGCATAAGACTTCAAAGAGGTTTACATCAATCAATGACACAAAGTCTTCTTATTCTGATATGCTCACAGAGTCCACCTGTGCAGACAGCTGCATAAAAATCATCACTGAAAGTACTGACTGATCTGGCTTCTAACTGCTGCAATGGGTTTTAAGCAATTCATGAGGATAAAAAAGCTGAGTCACTGGAGAAAATAAATAATAAAAATATAAAATCAGGAGTATACAGTAGGTTACAACAAGCTGCAGCTTTCCATTAACTTCCTGTATTGTCTTCAGCATACATTTCTCTGGAATTATAAGTTATTCAGCTACACTTCCACTTCAACATAGTGAAGAATCCCCAAAATAAGCAGCCTCCCGGTAACTCTCCCACTTGGAATGAAGCTGAAAGCTACACGGCAAGAACAAAGCAGACACAGAGCTGAGTTATTCAAAATATTATTTAATTAATAATAGTAATAATTAATATTAGTACTTAGCACACATGTTGCCTCCTATCTCAGGAATGAAAGTGTTCCAGTGTTTTGGGGCACTGTGTCTTGGAAAGACAACTGTCATCTCCCAAAATATTTGCATTTACCTACTGAAGAAATGTAACTTTCTCACATATCTTTACTGTAAGACTTATTGCTGTTTTCTCAACCCAACTGTGTAATCATTAGGGTAACAACAGCATATTCTCTAAGCTGCATTGGGAAGATCTCCTCAAGGATGTCATTCTTATTAACTGAAATACGTGTATTACACATAATTAAATCAATCTGGTTTGCAAGGATCAAATACTCAAAAAACCCTTCCTATTCTACAAGAACAGTTCTGGATCATTTACAGGAAAACAAGTTAATGTAAGACTCCTGAAATTCTCAAAACCCTCATGGTTTTGATTCTTCTAACTGGGTCATGAAGCAGCAGTATGGAAGAAGTTAGTAAGTTTTCTGGATGTGAGAACTGCCAACTTTCTCTACTTCTGTTTTCAGTAAGAAGCCTCCTATTTGTATAGGAATGGTGACCATTCAATTTCTAAGATTACTTGCTGGAGAAGGCGGGAGCCAAAACTGCATGTTAACTGGTGTATGGAATTGGCTGTGATTTACAGTGGCGACACTGTGCATTTGCCCAGGGCAGGTGGCACTTAAGTACGATTACTGAGATAATTAGGACTTCAGAGAGGCCCTTTCAAGGACTGAGTGTCCATTGTAAGGAAGAGGGGAAGACTCACTATGATGTTTCACATGTATCTTCTGAGCTGGACCTTTATTTTTTAAAACCAGGCTCTTATTTCTTAGGAGAATCAACAGAACAGCTGCACCGGGTCTTTCATAGAGCGCAACCTACCAACAACTGGCTGGACACCACGAAGTGAACCGGATGACTGCCTCGCTCCTGGCCAGCCGCAGCACCTGCTCAGACGCCTGCCGACGGTCACTCAGCCGAGGCACAGCACGCCAGCCAAGAACAGGGTATTACTTTGTACTTGCTGCTTTCTCTAAGGCTAAGGATGTAGCTGGGGACAACGCCGGCAGGGCTACGTTTCGTGGGAATAAAGAGTGGTTGCCATGGGCAGGTGTCCTCTCCAGCCGGCAGTGAACTTCACTTCTTACCCGGGCACCGGGCCTGTTACACCCAGCCCAGCTTCCGCGCCTCGGCGCTGGGTGAAGGCCGGTGGGGAAGACGGAGGGGCAGGGACGAAGTGTCGGAGCTGGCGGCAGATTCCCCTTCCGAGCCGCCTCCTGCCCCGATCTTTCCGTGTCGTGACGCGGGAGAAATCCGGCTCCGCGGAGCTCAGGCCCTTCTGGGCGGGACGGAAAGGAGGAGACCAGCGCTCCCCTGGCAGCGATCCCCCGCCGCGGGGCGCTGGGCCAGCGGGGGAAGGGGAAGCGGCGGGCGGGCCCATCCGCTGAGGAGCCCGTACCCCCCGGCCCCGGAAGCCCGTGTGGCCGCACAGCATCCACAGCCTGGCGGGCACCGGCTCCGTCCCACGCCCCTCTCAGCCGCCTTCGGGGAACGTGCCGACCCGCTGCCTGCCGGGCTCCACTGCCATCTCCTGGCCGCCGGCGGCACAGGCTGACCGCCGAGTCCCGGTGAGAGGCGGGCACGCCGGGCCAGGCAGGTGGTGCTGGGGCGCCGCGAAGGCGAAACGCAGACTAGCGCCTCTCAGCGCCGGGCTCCTTGGTCTCGCCTACTCCGGCTACAACCCAGCAGGTCCCGTCTCCCCGTGGGTTGCTCCGGGAACGAATGAACACGTTGATGAGGTGCCTCCCGAGTCCTCTTATTTCCCCAAAGGAATTCAGAGCACTGGTTTATTTTGTTAGTGAAGTCACAGTCAGGTAACCGTGCACGACCTACAGTGCTGGGGGGTGTCCGATTAACTGAACATAGTTCGTGGAAACCTAATGAAATCTTTTTCTCTAAAAGAAGCAACAAATGCCATTTTGACCACTTCAGAATGAAAAACTTTGCTTATCTGTTGATGCAGGAGTCACGGACAACGCAGGAACGACCAATGTGATCAGCAAATGCCAGTTTATTACAAAGCTTTAACTCCTTATATACCATTTCTTACAGGCACTTACAGTGATTTGGCATATTATGATTGGATACATGTCTTGAAGACCCTTAGCGACTAACACATAATTGGTTAAGCACAGGTGTGAGAACTTGACCTCGAAAGCTTGCCAACAGTCCACAGTTCTCATTAACTCAGTGAATTCCAGCTGCCTCTTATCTTGCTTGCTTAAGCTTCCTCGGGCCTCTCACGGCCTTGCTGTATCTTTCAGGATTATTCAGTTTTTGCACCAATTATGTGTTCTCCTGTGAGAACACTGTCTTCACATCTCCCCCTTTTTGTTTTATGTATCTTCTGAATGACCCTACTTGAGCAGGGGATTTGGGCTACATCATATTTTCAACATACGCCAACTACAGGCTGCTGGGCCTGCCCCTTTTTTCTGCTGTATGGCTCTCTGGTAACAGGGAAGGCCATCCTTCACATCAAGGTCTGGCATGGCATGTGTCCCCACCGCTCCACGCCTGCTGGGTTGCAGCCAGCAGCGGAGCTAAGGTTCTTCTTGGTGGCAGGCACAGAGGCCAACCCAGTCTTGCCCTTGATTGTGGCAGCAGGCATTTGGTCAGCCTCAGTCCTTGCACCTTGTTGTCAATGCAGTTTCACCTGCTTCATCCAATAACAAGCTGTTATTATGGCAAGGCACACAGATTTACATTAGCAGAGTAACTATTACAGGGTGCAGCAGCATGTTGAAGATGCTGATGGCAGCAAGGGACTAGCCAAAGAAATTTCTTACCAGTGGAATTCTCTCACCCTCTTAATTTGTTCCATTACCTGCTTTATAACACTACCGTTGCATTAGAATATTTCTATGTTTTGCTTTAGCATTTTCTAGCAGCTACTACAAATTTGTATACTCTCTTTTACAAGTGACAAATTCATATAATACAAGGTGTAGTTTCTTATCAGCAACTGGCTAGTAAATACAGGTGGTTTCATACACAAAATCAAAGCCTCTAACAATAGCTACTTTACAAACACACATATTCAAGCTGTTACTTTTCAGTTGCCTCCAAATGATGTTTTGCAATCATTAGTTTTTCTCTTCCTCTATCTCATTCTGCTTGGGGTATTCACAGTCAGCTCCTGCAGCTGAGGCATCAGGTTCCTCCATTCGTCTGTCCAGCTCATTGCAAGGCTTGACAAACTTTGCAGGCAGTCGCCATGGACCTGTAGGCAGGAGGACACAAATATACCCCCTTCTCCAGGTTATCAGTTCTTGAGAAGCAGACAGGTTAAAATAGGAGTTCGCAGCATCACTGCCCCTTTTTTTTTCCCCGAGGTCACTCACCCTGCACGGCTGCTACTAACACCGAACACCAGCCTGCTCCCGCAGCAGCTACAGCTGCCTGCAACCGTAAATACCTGCCGGCAACTGCACTTTTGCATTAACCCTTTCTTGCCCGAAATGTTAAACTGCTACCCATTAAAAACTTTTATATCAACCCAACAACAAAGAAAAAAAAATACACAGAACACTGTCTGCCCTCAACACACACACACACACACATGGGATCCCACAAGCACACTCCACACAACTACAATATTTGAAGCACAAAATCCCAACAATCATTTCTTCCACTACGCAATCCCATGTACAGAACGTGGCACAAGGACCTTGTGGAGACTAACAAGAAACCAGCTCCGAGAAGCATCATTGCAGTGCGAGGTGGCAGGCTTAACCCTGGCGGGCGTCCCCGCAAAGACTCTGCTTCCCCCACATCGCATGAGGCTTGGGCTTTTACACTGACAAAAATGCACACTCATTCCGACACAGGTGGCCAGCCTATGTTGGAAGAAGTAGCCAGCAGTATTTATAAAGGTCTCAAAAGGTCAATAGAAACCTGGACATACTTATTTTTACCAGCTTCTAGTACATGAGTATCACAGAGAGAATGTATTAAATGAGTTGTATATGGGGTCATAAGTCCTCAGTCCATCACAGTCTGCCCGATACTCCTGATAAGAGCATACAAGAGACCTTCCCACTGCGGGTCTTTATGCAGAACATACACCACCAGGAAAGCACACAATACATCTGCATCCCCCACTGGTCTCACTTCTCCCTTTACAGCTGTGCATTTAGCATGAGGATCTGGGGTATATAAATTAGGCTCCTTTTCCAGATGAATAGGCTCGAGGTCAAAAGGACCATCCAGGTCAGCATCAGAATTATCAGGCATCAGAACCTTAGGAGCAGCGCACAGGCTCCTTCTTGGGGTCAATAGGGCCTGAGTCAAAAGGATCATCTTCATCTCTGTCCTCAGTCTTCGCAGCTGCAGCAGCAACCGGCGAAGGTTGGGAGGGGGGTGGGTGGGTGGTGTTGTTTTTGGTGTTGTTTTTTTGTTTTTTTTTTTTTTTACTTTAACATAAAAAAGGTTGCTCCCTTCACTTTAAGAAGGACTGAAAACATCCATAAAACGGATGTCCTAAGCTCAAATTTCAATTCATTCAGTCACTGACAAGGGGGGTGTCCTGGGGCAGTGCTGACTCTTTCCAGTGTTTCACCCACCACAGACCAGAATCTGTAATTACACACATATTACCTTGACCAGTTAGTTTTACTTCAGCAGGACCTTTCCAAATGCCAGTTTCCAAATCCTTGTACTGCACCAGAATACCCAGAGTTTTAGTCATATAACCTGAACCTAATGCCTGACCATGTATTACAGCAAGGGGGGGGGTCATTAAAGTCTCCTGTCAATCGCAAAAAAAATCATAACATATAGAGCTTTCTGTATCCTTGCTATTGGTGTAAGTCCTTCTTCCCTCATTTTTTGTTTTTCAAAAAACTGTTTCAAAGTTTGATGTGTTCATTCAATAATAGCTTGTCCTGTAGGAGAATGAGGAATACCAGTGATATGAGAAATACCCCAAGTATTCAAAAATCTAGAAAGTGTAGCTAGATGCATTGTCTGTTTTTAGCTGTAGAGGTACTCCCACAGCTGCAAAACAACCACGCAGATGTATGATTACATGGTGCACAGTCTCACCAGCCAATTTCTTCAGCAGCTGTCGCAGTTGACCATCACTGAGGCTGGTTCACATCTGCCTATGAGCCGAACTGTCTGAACCATCTGAGTCTGAGTTGGGATCAGGAAGGGGAGGGTACAAGTCTGGTTCTGCCAGAGACTCTGGGTCTGGTTCCAGTTCTGATTCGGGGTCTTCTTCTTCTAGGTCGAAGGTGACCTCATTTGCACTTTCTATTTGTACTTTCGGACGCGAGCGCCGTTTCACTTTATCTTCCCCCTTATACCGAGGAGGCTTCTGTGATGCCGTGCCAGGCACAATGGGGGGGGGGGGGGGGGCAAAGACCATAGAATACCATAGAGGTAGCACTCTTCTCTACCTCTGACTGACTTTGTGAAGGAGCAGCGGCCAGGAAAACAGATGCCACTGCTGCCTGTTCCGATTTCATTTCCTTTAAAGTCTCAATTATCAATCTCCATAACAAATACTTCAGGGCTTCCTTTGTCCCTTTACTAATCTCATCCCACAACGCCTGACCTATACATTCCCATTCAGAAACTTCAAAGGTGGCTTGTTCTGTGGGGATAAAGCCACTATCCCGGGCCCACTTTAACAGCCTCTGTGAGGTGGCACTATCATGTTGCAGTCCTCTCTTAGAGAGAATTATGTGGAGGAGCTCCATCACTGCCTGTTCCTCTTTGGAAGGCAAGTGCCCCATCTCCTCCCCGGCTGCTCACCTGATCAGGGCGAGATCCCACAGTTACTCCACTGTTTGCAGACGTCTGACTTCCACAGCGCCGGGGCAGCGCTGACTTTCGACCTGCTCTCCGCCCCCTCTTCTTTTGATCGGGCCTTCAAACTTGCATGCCACAAGTTACCGATCTGAGGGTCCCTGTTCGGGCGCCATCTGTCGACGAGGGAGTCACTCATCTACTTTAATACTGTGTCTACATAAGCAAATCAATGTATTTTAATGACAATATTAATAAGAAGTAAATACTTCAATCAAAAGTAATCTTGCAAGGAAAAGTTATCCTACGAATATCAGTTCAGGGGGAGTGGGGTTCTTCTAGGAATACTGAAAAAAAAAGTTACATTTTCTCTGAAATGAGAAATGCAATGCCTTTAACAATAACTGTCCTAAAACAAAGCTTGTAAACACCAGTTTTGTTTTGCATTTTATCTTTAACAAAAACTGTCTTGGGCTTTGTTTTATTTATTTGGGTTTTTTTGTTACAGTGAGATGTAGTTTTTAGTAGAGTATCCTAAATGGTGATATGACACTTCAAGTATTTATCACTAATGGATAGCCTGTGAGATCACCATTGTACTTTCCTCCTCTTGCAAGACCTTGGCATCTCTATTTCACAGTAAACATGACATAAGCCATAGTTCATTTTCTTAAGTCAAAAAAACCTTTCAACTTCCAGAAGTCTTGGCCACTTGAAGCCCCTTTCCCCATAGCATTCTCTCACGCGTGAGCCAAAGCAGAACATT